TATATTTCAAATTAAAAACATAACACCATTTCCATTAGTAATGTCCCAGAATAAAATACTTAGGTACATGAGGTCTGTCCAGAAGGTATCCAGCCACGTGATAGGAAAAATAGAGACATTTACTGAAGAAGATACAAGAAACACTGTACATAGGACAATGGTGCCTCAGTGCCCTTCAAAGTAGGCACCTTGGGACCTCACACAAGTTCTCTCGGTCACCATCGGCTGCCCTGTAGTATTTTCCTGAATCTCCTCAGTGGTCTGAAATCTCTTCCCTTTCAAAGGTGACTTTAGTTTCTGGGAAAGACAAACTTAATTAATTTTTAAATGTGCCATTCTGGTGAGTGATGTTGATCATGGGAGAGGATATGTACACAGGTGGAATTGAGGAGTGTATAGAAAACCTCAGTACCTTCCTCTCAATTTGTTGTCAGCCTAAAACTGCCACCCTAATAGTCTTTAATAAAAAGAAGGTAGGAGAGAAGGAAGAAAAGGAGGGAGGGATGTTGATAGTAGGGAAGGAGGAAGGAGGATTGGAAGGAAGGAGGGAGGGAGGGAGGGCGGATGGAACCAAGGAAGGAAGGAAGGAAGGAAGGAAGGAAGGAAGGAAGGAAGGAAGGAAGGAAGGAAGGAAGGAAGGAATATTAAGGGGCTCATATATATACATGAGCAAATGTTGCTGGTATTGTATGATTTGAAGGAGATATTAGAAAAGCACGTTGTAAAACATTACCACTAATACTGCCTTTCAGCTAACTTGAAATTCCCTCTATTAACCATTCTTTTCCGTTTAAGGATTGAGAGAGAGTAACCATTTAACCTGAAATTGTCCTCTGCATCTAAAATATGACAGCATGTCCCCAAGGATTCAGACTAGGTTAACTGAGAGGAGAGAAGGGCCTGGGAAGGCAGGACAGAAAAACACAGAATTAGACCCATTCTGTGCCAGTTTCCCAGGATGGGTGGGTGGGAGAGACAATGAAATGGTACAAACTCACCCACAGCAATTCAGGGCCCAATATGACATGTTTAAACGCGGCCCTGGTGAGGTTTTTTGTTTCCTCGGCAGCTCTGAGACGGGAGGGTGGCACACATTTCTTCCTCTGGAGAAATCAAGCTCCTTCAAGATTAGATAGAGGCGAAGCTGGCAACAGCGAGCAAACTTCTCAATAGTCTCCCTCCCAGACCCATGTCCTGTGCAAGAGAGAGAAACTGGGTTGCTACCGTGATGGTAATGTGCTCGTTCTGTCTGTCTGACTGGGGCTACACTAGATTAGCGGGCCATAATTACGGCTAAAATCCACGTCTCTGACACAGTTGAGAGAATGTCTGTTCCTGAACTGAACTGAACCGAACTGAACTGAACGCCAAGGAAAGGCTTCGCTGGAGGTTAAGCCAGGCAGCCTCCGCTCTCAGAAAGTGATACGCTGTTTCAGCGTCGCACTGGATACTGTATCCGAGCAGCGGGATTTCCTGCAGCTTGGGTTTCAGATGGTTTACTTTGATTTCTTGGGACGATAAAGAAGTCTGCTCATCTTTAAATGGTATTTTTAGTGGCCACACCATTGTAAAACCTTCAGCACTTTGCTTTGTGTCTGGATGGGACAAGATCTGCCTCGAGATAACTTGACTCAGACTTTTTTGAAGGAATCCTCCCCCCCCACAATTCTCTCCCTGTCTTTCATGCTTTGCAGAAAATAATGAAGTCTGTGGTTAACAATCCTTCCTTCACCTGGTGGACTTAGAATTTTAAGTTTAACTTCGTGAGACAGTAATGGAAATCAATTCCTTTTTCTCCATCACTGGTGGTGGTCTAAAGCAGATCCAGGAATGTCCTCATCTTTTGCCAGAATCGTTAATACAATTTTTGTATTAAAAAACTCCATCTCCTCTTCTCTGTCTCATCTTTTCTATATGTGCTCTTGTCTGCTTCTCAAATCATAAAGCAAACTGCAAACCAAATTTGACTAAAATTTCAAGACAAGTCAGGGCAAAATAAGGAAGCTGAAAGCCGAGCTGGGAATAAGGAGAGAAGAGCTTGAACCAGCCTGTTTCATATTCCCCTCAAACCATCCCAGACTTTCCTTAAATAGAACCCACAGTTTGCAGGCTCTCTAATGAATACTGGCCAAGTGGCCGCCTCAGGTTTGAGGCATGTTATTACCATTTTCCCCCATTCCCTCTCCTTAATTAGAGGCTGTAAAGGGAGGTGGCCCCCAGTTTCTGACAAGCCGCATTAGCTTCACCAGAATGAAATGCCTGATTCTGGACCTCTTTCCTAAAGAACTGACTGTTTTTATGGAGGGGATGCATTTGCAGGGGGAAGGCCTCCACAGGATTAGTCGGAGAGGTTATGAAACCTCTATTCCCCGAAGGCCTCATTTCCTAGGACCGATTTCAGGATACTTCAAAGATAAGGCGGGGGGATAGACTAGGTCAGTTTCTCCTGAGTTTCACCATTCAACTGAGATCCATAAAAAGAAAGACATTTTATCTGTACCAAACACACATACACACACATGCACTCAAACACAAAAATTTTCATAAAACAATATTTATCCCTGGTACTTACTAAGACCTTCAATGGTCCATTCTATGTTATTTCATTATTTGAATACAAATCTCCACCCACTGAATTAATTTCGTGCACTGAAGAGAGATGAACCCACGGTTTGAAAAACACTCAACAGGACGCCCTTTTATTTTTTTTCCAACCCTGTAATTCAATATGGAGTGGTTTTGAATTGAGGACAAGCCTGATGAGTTTGAGGTATGGAATAAAGGAATCCGATCAGCTCCGGGTCTGCTGTGTTTTGAAATCTCTCTGTGTGTTCATTCTCTTCACCCCAGAGGACTCCATTATCTCTGCTCAAAGAGCAACACTGCTCTGGCTGTTTCCCCTGCTTCTCTTTGATCCCTGCAGCCAGGCGTCAGCCCTTCCCCCAAGCCCTCCCTCCCACCCCCATTGAGGCTGTTTGGACTCCGGGGGTTTTGCTGGGCCCCTAGCCCATGAGTGTTCACTGTGCCCGGGGCTGTTCCCCATCCAACCTGCCCCACTGTCCCCCGCTGAGATTTCAGTCTCCATCGGCCAGGTTAATGGGGTTGCTGTTCTTCCCCTATTGTCCTTCTCTTATTGTTCTCTTATTTCACACAGGACTTATCGGTTTGTTCCTGGGACAATTTTTAGTTTGTTGCTGAAATGACAAAAGTGAGAGAGGATTGTATTTGGGGAATAAGTGAGCCAGCGATTTAATCCAGGAAGGTTTTATTCATTTGTTAAATTATTTTAGAAGTGTTTTAAAAATGAGATTTTTAACAGATAAAAAATAATGTAATGTAACTTAAACCACAAGCCATATTTTTAAAAATGCATATATCGTCGACATCAAATCAATTATACAGCATTTTAGGTTCAAGTGTCAATTCTGGTCAGAAAGACAAATTCATAGACGCATTATTTATTTTACCCACAATTTACAACATTTACTGAGCACCTCTTAAGATACAAAGCAAAAGCAAGATATGTAAAAGACATTTCCTGACTTCAAGGCAACTAAACCTTCAGAAGGAAATTAAGAAGTGCATGTACATCTTATAAAACAGATTTTAATAAGTGACTTGGACACAGGTCATTACAAAGCCAATCGTAATATCTCTCCCTGTTCAGAACTAGCAAGAGTGAAAAAGAGAAAAACCATTTTTTCCTGTTTCATCTTTTCGAGATAAGAAATTGCAAATTCCTCCATTCCCCATTTTAATTGCATGCTTGAGGAAGGAAGGAAGGAAGGAAGGAAGGAAGGAAGGAAGGAAGGAAGGAAGGAAGGAAGGAAGGAAGGAAAGGAGGGAGGGAGGGAGGGAGGGGGGATGGAGGGAGGGAGGGAGGGGTCCTGAGTGCCTCATTTGTGCCCTGTGCTGTGAGGGTGATGGAATGGCCTTCCTATGATCTTCCTTTGGTGCCTCCGTGTACTTCTCAAATGAACCAGCCGCCCAAGAACTGAATTGATGAGGAAAAACATCCCTGCATTCGGATGGATAGAGGCTGGAGTGCAAGAAGCATGTAAAGAAGGCCACGTCTTTCTCCCCCTCTGACTGTCCAGAGCAGTGTTACCAAATAGGAACTCAAAGTGAGCCATCTGTATAATTATAAATTGTATAGTCTTTTTAAAACAAAATTTATTTGAACAATATATTTTAACCCAATAGGTTCAAAATATTATCACCACGACATGTAATCAACATACAAAGATATTTTCCCACCAACAGTGCACTAGGGTCCCCTTTTCTTCACAACCTCTCCAACACTTGTTTGTTTGTGATAGCCATTCTGACCAATGTGAAGGGGTATCTCATTGTGGTTTTAATTTGTATCTCTCTGATGACTAGTGATGCTGAGCATCTTCTCACGTGCCTCTGGGCCCTCTGTATGTCAACCTTGGAGAAGTGTGTGTTCAAGTCCTTTGCCCATTTTTTAATTGGGTTTTTGTCTTCCTGGAGTGGAGTCATGTGAGTTATTTATATATTTTGGAGATCAAACCCTTATTCAAGGTATCATTGGCAAATATGTTTTCCCATACAGTTGGTTCTCTTTTCATTTTAATGTTCTTCTCTTTAGCCATGCAGAAGCTTTTGCAGACTGGTGCAACCACTGTGGAAAACAGTATGGCATTTATTTCCTCAGAAAACTAAAAATGGAGCTACCTTTTGACCCAGCAATTTCACTGCTGGGATTATACCCTAAAAACCCTGAAACACCAATCCAAGACAACCTATGCACTTGAATGTTCATAGCAGCACAATTTACAATAGCCAAGTACTGGAATCAGCCTCAGTGCCCATCAGTAAATGAGTGGATAAAAAAACTATGGTACATTTACACAATGGAATTCTATGCAGCAGAGAGAAAGGAGCTCCTACCCTTTGCAACAGCATGATGGAACTGGAGAGCATTATGCTGAGCGAAATAGGCCAGGTAGTGAGGGACAAAGACCATATGAACTTACCTTTAACTGCAACATAATCAAAAAAAGAAAAAAGCAAACAAAATATAACCAGAGACATTGAAATTAAGAACAAGCTGACAGTAACCAGAGGGGAGGTGGGAGGGGGTAATGGGGGGAAGTTATTTCAGAGACAACTATAAAGGACACCTGGACAAAACCAAAGGGGGAGCAGAAGCAAGAGAGGAAGGTGGGTTTGGCCAGGGGGAGGGAGTGAGGGGGATAAATGCAGACAACTGTAACTAAACAACAATAAAATCTTTTTTTAAAGAAATAAACTACTGCTACTCATACAACATGGACTGAATTTCAAAACCATTAAGCTAATTTTTGTGTGTTTTTTAATGAAATTCTAGAAAAGACAACACTAATCTATCATGAAGAAGACAAATCAGTGGTTTGTCTAAGACCAGGATTTTGGGGAGAGGTTGCTGAAAATGGAAACAGTGGAACTTTCTGGAGTAAGTGCTCCATAACTTAACGTGGTTGTGGTTATATGGAAGTGGTCATTTTCGAATTCATTAAACTGTGAATCAAATAAAGTTGATTTTTTTAGGGAGAAAGAAAAAGATATTTTCTTTTGAACTATTGTCCTCAAACTCTGGCATGTATTTCCATGCACAGCACATCTCAGTTACAACTCATCATATTTGCAGAGTTCAAGAACCACAAGTCACTCGTAGAAAACCACAGTATGGTTTCCCTCACTGGGGACACAGTCTGGTCATCTAGTCCTGTGCTGTAGTGGACAATGTGGGTCTAAATAAAGAAGCAGAACTGGGCAAAAGCCTAGATCATTAATGCATTTCTCTAACATTTAACAAAATTATTTTCCTGTGCATGTTAGTGGATAAATGGGAGTTTCCAACACTCAGGGTTCACTTCTTTCTCTTCTCCCAGCCTTTCAGACCTGGGAAAATAAGAGAATTTGGGGTGGCATCTCCCCTATTTCAACGCCCCAGAGTCATCATCTGCTCCAAGGTAAACAAAGATGATACCTCCCGTTCTCACACTAGTGTCACGCCTTACAGTTGATAAATGCTTTCGTGTACAGTACCTCATTTAACCATTTTAACCAGACCATGCGTAGTTTGTGGAAGTATTAGCATCCTCATTTTATAAATGAATGAGCTCGCGCTCAGGGAGAGTAAATGATTTGCCCAAAGCATCCAGGGTTTTAAAACATAATGTAGTATGTGTCCCACTAAAGCAGAGCTGCGTGGTGAAAGGAAATAAGGAATATGTTTGCAGCAGTATGGGTTTTTATCTTCTTTGGCAACAACCCAGGTCTCCCTTCCTTTCAAAAAAAAAAAAAAAAAGCGCCGAAACTGGGTGAACTGATGATCATGTTTAAAAAAACTAACATACAAACAACCTCTTGGCTAATTGAGCTTTTCACTGGACTTTGTGTTGTTGGTTTGTTGTGTGTGTGTATTTTTTAAGTTGGATATTGTGTGTAGTTTAGCAACGTAGAACATCTCACTGTTGCAAGCAAGTTTTTGCCGCGGCCCTTAAATGTGTTGCAATCATTTTGTCTGGGAAAACAAACAAAGGTGGGTCAGCAATGAGAGGCTGGCCGAGTCCCAGCTCCGAGGACGTTGGCTTACCTACCAACAATGCCTCCCTTTCAAGCACAGGCCAGCTATTTTATGAGATCACGGTTCTCTGCAAGGGAACTGCTGTAGTCAGCAGGACGGAACTTCACTACTGCCCTGTGGGGAAGGACAGTCCTGCCATCATCTTCAGATGCATCCCGCTCCTGACACCGTGTGAAAAAGACAGGGACAGACTTTAAAGGCAGGGAGTTCATTCCCTGGGAATCAGAATTGTCTTTTGAAAAATATTCCCTAGAATAGAGACAATATGTTTATCACCCTTAACTTCAGAAACAATGGACTCAAAGGCGATAGTCACAGCCCTCTATTTTGACTGCTCAGGTTTTTTCTGTTCTACCCAACTGTGTTCCTATTTTTATCCCTTTCATTTTCTACCCAGGAGTCATCTTGCTTGTTGGATAAGACACCAGTTATAGCCATTCGGTATTTGATTTTTTTTGGTCCTTTTTTATTTTATACTTATTTTCTTAGCTCCTGCCTACTTGTTCTCTCAGTGAACCTTAGATAAATCATAAGCAAATAAGTTTAGCTAGTTTTCAGAGAGCAACAGTCATAGAAATTGAGATGGTCTGGGAGCCTCTTTAAAAATCATTTAGATAGCCTTCAAATTTTGGACAAAATGGCAAGATCCAGCTTGCAGTCAGCATGTCTAGCTCATCTCATTCACAGTAAATCCTCTGGAGTTTTCGTTCAGCTGACACAGTGATGTCAAGAATGGTGACTCGTTAACTAAAGTGCTGAGTGGTGAGTTCAATGCCCTACTTATGGGTCACATACTGTGGTTTCCCCAGCAGCGGGCTAACGCTGGGGACACAAGAGGAAGACACTATGGCCCACTAAACTATAGCCATTGTCTAGTTTGTCACTAAGGTTAACTCTTCCTTCCTCTATAGGAAATGGGGAGAACAAAAATAATATAAAACTTGCAGAAAAATGTGAACACATCCAGACACTTCTGTAGTAACCAGCATTTTTTAAGTGTGGACAAAAAGCACAAAGGAATTTATTATCCACCATTTCTGCTTCCCCAATACCTCCCTCTCTAGAAATCCTACTCTGGACCTGGTAACCAGTGAAAATGGCAAATTACTTGACCTGCTGGGTTGATTCGAGTCATTTATTAGCTATCCTATTTTAGACATTTTTAAAATAACTTTTTAGCCTAATAATTTACTACTAAATCAGGAAAGCAGCTGTGGTTTATTAGCAGCTTAAGGTTAATAATACTGAACACAGTCTGACTCAAAGGAGCACATATTGGAACAAGCACACATTTATTCCATCACCTGCACAAGTTTGTACTCATAAGAGAATAGATACCTATTCTTCTGTTACAATCTTCTGTCAAGTAAATTCCACTCTACACTAAAAGTACCTCAAAGGATCCAGATGCTGCTAAGATACGTCACTGGTAAGATTCTCTCCTCTCTGTATCCTGCATCTAAGATGTAAGTGATTTTTTTTCTGTCTAGTCTACCCCTTAACTTCTTTGTCAGTTGAAAGGTGTGTTAACATTTAAAACCTCAAGTCACATAGTTGGAGAACTGGCCCACCTGGCCACAGTGCTCTGCCTTCCTCAGCCCCTATGTCCTCAACAGCATGGGGCCTGTCTTTCCAACACCCATGCTGAAAGGTGTTTTGAAGGTATCTTACTTATCTCACTTGGACTTAAACACAAGGGTATCTGCAAATATTGGTTTGGTTTGCTTTCTAAGATATGAAAAAGGAGCAAGAAAAAGGGTCTTATTGTCCATGTAGTCTGCATTGCTGGCTTGGTTTCAGGTCTTGGATCTGAGAGTGTTTGCATACACTTTCCCAGGAGCTCTGATCCAGCTCCTACTGTTTTACTAGCTCACTTCTTAGATATTAAACACACACACACACGCGCACACGCACACCTACTGGGAAATTTCTCAATTCCGTGAAATTGTGTAATGTGACTATGTTGGGACACTTGCCCAAATGGTAATCTTCTTACCTGTAAACACTGCTGGGGCTGGTGAGAAGACACCAGCCCAGGCTCCTTCCAGCTCTTTCTTGCCAAAATATACAAGGAAAGATGTATCTCCCTGAGGGAGACAGAGAGAAGCTGTTGCTTCATTTTAAAAGAAAAGGTTTTAAAGTTATGAACTAGAGTCAAGTAAGAACACGAATATTTTCCAAGGAATAGTTAAATACTAAAATATACGACGCTGCTGTAAATCTTTCTTTATTATCATCACCATAACACCAGTTAATTACACTAATTTTATATAAAAATGGAAAATATAGAGCAACACAGAAGTCATTAAGATCCCCCACATTTCTACCTTCTACACATGTAAACTACATGTGTGTTTTTAGACACAGATGTACATTCTGATACAGACATGTAGAGAAATCCTTTTTTAGCCAAATAATATCATAAAATTACATTTTTGGTAAGTGTTTTTTGTCTAACAAGAGATCATGAAAATCTCACCATATCAATAAACATATACAGCATCATTGTTAATAGGTGCATAGTATCCTTTAATGTGGTTATACCATAAGTTATTTAACAAATCCATATGGTTGATTTTCTTTCCAACACTTATTATTATAAACAATTCTATAATAAACATTTTTCTACAGAACATATACGCCAAGATGAAAAAATATGGCCCAAATGAAAGAATGTAGAAGAACTCCAGGAAAAGAACTAAGTGATGAGGAGATAGCCAACCTATGAATCAGATGCAAAGTTCAAGACAGTGGTGATCAGGATGCTTACAGAAATTATGGAGTAGAGGTGCAAAATAAAGGAAGAAATGAAGGCTACACAAAGTGAAATAAATCAAAATGTACAGGAAACTAGCAGAGAAGGAAAGAAAACCATGACTCAAATCAATAATTTAAAACAATGATTTTCAATCAATAATTGAAAATAAACCTTCAGTCAGATAGAATGAATAAACAAGAATTCAAAAAAGTGAGGAGGCTTAGGAACCTCTGGAACAACTTTAAACATTCCAACATCTGAATTATAAGGGTGTCAGAAGGAGAAGAGGAAGGGCAAGAAATTAAAAATTTATTTTAAAAATAATTAAGGAGAACTTCCCCAATCTGGCAAAGGAACTAGAAATACAAGTTGAGGAAGTTAGATGCAAGAAGCAACACACCTGAACACACCATAATTAAATTAGTCAAGATTAAAGATAAGAAGAGAATCTTAAAAACAGCAAGAGAAAAAGAAAGTGTTAACCTACAAAGGAGTTCCTGTAAGACTATCAGCTGATTTCTCAAAAGTAACCTTACAGGCAAGAAGTGGCTAGAAAGAAGTATTCCAAGTCATGAAAGTCAAGGACCTACATCCAAGATTACTCTATTTAACAAAGCTTTCATTTAGAATGGAAGGGTAGATAAAAGTGCTCCCCAAATAAGGTAAAGTTAAAGGAGTTCAGCACCACCAATCCCTTATTATATGAAACCTTATTAAAGGGACTTATCTAAGAAAAAGAAGAAGACCAAAACTATGAGCAGTAAAATGACAACAAACTCACAACTATCAATGACTGAACCTAAAAAACAAAAACAAAGTAAACAAACTAGAACAGGAACAGACAGAATCATAGAAATGGAGATCACATAGAGGGTTATCAGTGGGAAGGGGAGAGAGAGAATGGGGGAAAATGGTACAGGGAATGAGAAGCATAATTTGTAGGCACAAAATATACAGGGGGAGGTTAAGAACAGTGTAGAAAATGGAGAAGCCAAAGAACTTATATGTACATCACACGGGCATGAACTAAATAGGGGTGATGCTGGAGGGAGGGGGATGTAGGGCAGAGGGGGAGAAAGGGGAGAAATAAAATGGGACAACTGTAATAGCATAGTCAATAAAATATACTTAAAAAAAAGAAAGGAACCAGGGACAAATGGAGAGAAGCTAAATTGTCTAGCATCGGGGTGAGAGCAGAGAGGCCTGGAGGGCACACACAAAAAACATTTTTCTATATGCATTTTTGTGAATGTTTCTGATCGATCGCAGGCTAAATTCTCAAAACCATGATTGATAGGTGAAAGGTAATGTTTTGTTGTTGTTTTATGTATTTATTTTAGTGTTTAAAATTCCAAATTAACATGTAGAAAAATACAGCCAATTCATATCTCACCAATGTGATTGATTTACTTTGATTATTAGTAAAGTTATACGGTTTCTTTATACTTATTGACCATTTATATCTTTTACTTTTTGAACTGCCTTTCCCCTTTTGCTTTTTAATTTGCCTCTTTCTAACTATATTATAAAACCAATGTTATTACAGAGATTATTAGATCTTCATCTAACTGTTGCAAATATTTTCTCAAGATAACCCAGATATCAGGTGTGCCTTAATTTGGGTGAATGGTGGCCTGGTGTCCACATAGCTGTCTCTGTATTTGTCCCCTGCCTTAGACTACCATGATACATTAACTCAACATGCTTTTAATGCCCTTAAAAAGTCATCTCATGCAAAAGCCTTAGTAAACATAACTGGAGTTTTTATAGAAAATATGAACAGGTTTTGCAAAACACATCCTCACAGGAAAATCCCTACCTGACATGTCTGTTCTTATTCATTTCCTATATCTGGAGCTGAACTAGGGAGTGGTTTGCATAGTTCTGTTCTTCAACCTGCCTCCTCAAATCTGTCTTGATGTTCTGCCAAACAAAGGGCCCTCCAGTTACCAAAAGTTGCCCTCCTTAGAAGACAGCGTAGTGATTATTTTAACTTGTTTTGAACATGCCCTTTGGGATAGCATGCCCAAATCCAGCAGTTTACCAGAGTATTTCTTCTGATCTTTTTACTGTTAAGCCTCTTGAGAGTATTATTATTCTTCACCTAATTTCTGCACATTTCTTGTCAATTTTATTTTTGAGTATTTTTTCCTTCATTTGCTTTTGCAACTGGTAACTTTGCTCCACAATATTATTTAGCCAACTATTCTTTATATATAGGAAAACAATTTACTTGGGGATTCATTAAAAGAAAAAAAACATGATTAATACATTCTACACAGCTGCAAGTGAATAAATTCTTTTTCGTGTGTGGGTAAAATCAACCATCTTACTAATTTATCTCATTGTTTCTAATAATTTTTTACTTCTTTATTTTTCTTAATATATTACCACCACCTATAAATAACAAAATTATCTCCTTCTTTCAAACATTTATTCCTCTCATTACTTTCTCATGTCTAATTACGTTGGTCAGTGCTTCTAAACTAGGAGTACTAGTAGCAATGATGGGGTTCTTTGTCCTCTATCATAAAAAGTTCTAAAGCTTCCATTAAAAATGATGCTAGCATTGGTATATTGTGTAAACATAGACACACATATACAATTTTAATGTCAAAGAAGTTTACCTCTTTTTGTATCATACTGATGGTTTGGGTTTCTTACTGGTATACACACACACACACACACACACACATATAAAACTTTAAAGATTTAATGTTTCATTCTCAGGAAAAACAGGAAATTGAGGAAACACACTACATTTTACAGCCCACATTAATTTGGGGTTGCTTCTAACCCTAACTGGCACAGCTGTCAACCATATTAGCTGCTTAACCAGAACCAAGGTGTTCACCATCAGTAGGATGTTACGTGGACAACACTAGAGGATTGAAGGTGTTTTTCCTGAGAGAAGCTTTAAGACAGAAGTTGCTGAGACAGCCAGCTCTCCAAGCAGCCCCTCCTTTTCCACCGGGAGGATTTGCCTAAAGTATGTAGCTAGTCAGCACTTAGAAAAAGTGCCTCCTCTCCCTATAAAACCACCCACCCTTTCCCTAAGCTCTTGGACTCCCTAAGCCCTCACGGCCCCTGACCCAAAATCTTAACTAAGATCTCCATCATTTCAGCAGTCACGCCTAGTAAATTAGGAAGCAGGTCTCCTAAATGCCACCGACTTACATATATGTGCTTATGTCCACAACTGGATATATGGAGACAGGACTTTAAGTCATCTTAACCAGATCTTAAGATTAATTAAAAACTACATAAAGTGCTTTAGGTCCTGAGTGGTAGACACATGAGATACATGAGTGGTTTATGATCAAGAAGGTAAAAGGAGCTCTCTAGCCAAACGACCTTATGGCCCAGAGATGAGCAGGCAGGCATTCTTCCCTAGTACATTCTTAGTCATTTTATTCATGCTCTATTTTTCTAGAGTCCACAGATTAAAGGCCGAAAGTCCACATTCTGAGGCTGAAGCTTTCGCACGACCCTAGTTCTAACATATCTTTCTTCAGTTTAACCAGTGGCTTTTATAGCCAGTGCCAAGGGGTAGCATTTTTTCAAGTTTCTCAGATGGTTTTACTGTGCACTCCAACTCGACCACAATGGACATAATCCTGCTCCTTTATTTTTCTAATAAGAAGTCACTTAGGTGAGTGAGTAGGGGACATACTGAGAATAACCAGGATTCCCCAGCATGCAATGCACTTCTCTTTCTTTTAAATCAGACTTAATTGAAAACGAATTAAGGCAACTTGTTGAGGAGACAAGCTGCCAAATACAATGAAATGGTGTGGTTCATTACAGAAGGAATGATCAGAAAATCAACAGATCTAGAAGTTCCTCACTTAAATGACCACTGAGGGTGAGATGACCCGGACTGAAGTACAGCAACCACCAACCATGTGTGGCAGCACTTGAAAATGGGGGTAGTGGGAAGGGATATAAAGAAAAAAAAATATCCAATTGTCAGGCAAAGGCAGGATTTGTGCAGGAAATAACTTTGCTGAGTAAACAGAAATAAGAACTAGTCAAGGCAAGCGAAGACAAGGTTGCACAAACATAAGATTTGTTTCTAAATCAGATAAATCAGACAAAGCTGGGCTAAATAACAACTCTATTTGCAATTTTCTATGTGTATTTTCAACTTATGCTGGTAGTGAGCATGTATTTACAGCTTTCTGTACATTTTATCCCTGAGAAAGAGAATAAAAGAAGACACTCACCTTCACAGGAATTGAAAATAGAAATTGCATTGGTTCAAAACGTCAAATTTTTCTCAGATTTAATCTTGCACATTTAGAACCTTTAAAAAGTTTAGTTGGGAAT